AGGTAAACACATTATGTTCAAAGTATTCCAAGAGACGACGACGGGGCTGGATCAGGGCTTGTACGTGTTCCCATGAGATTGTTCCGCGCAACCTACCTGAGCCGGGTCTAAATAATGATTTAAAATTCAAAGGGATCTACCCTTGAAAGGGACCTACCCCGGCTTAACCCCGCCACGAATATTGTCTCTTTTGGATAAAAATCTGGTACCGCGGTGAGATTTTTTTTTTAACAAAAACACTGCATAATTTATTTCGTAAGCGTAAACGTTTTTGACATAACTTGGTTGAAACAGAGCGTTTTAATCAGGATCAATCCGAAAATTTTGCATATTTATTTTACAATGTACAACGTTGATGTAAGACAAACATCTTAAACTTATACTAACAATAATTTTCAATTATTCTAATTATCACATTTTTTGCACATACAACAAATGTAATTAGTTGAGTAAGTACATCTAAAGCATTTTGCAAAACAGAAACCCAGATGGCTTGAGGTTTTTTCTTAAAAGAAGTTTAAGACGATTTATAAGGAACATTGAGTGTTAATCGGGTAAATTATTGTCTTGTTATAACATATCGGTTCGGATTGAATCTTTACCAGTAATGACAGTCTTCTATTAACTTTATTTCTGCTGGTTTGATTTATGACCAATGTAAACCTTTGTGAAATCGATGGAAACTGGTAGAACCAAAGATATAACAGACCTTGAAGATTTGTTGTTGTTTGTTTTGTGTTAAATAGTAAGATGCCAAATTTTAGTTTAAAAAAAGGAAAATTAATAAACTCTTTCATTCAAACTGCTACGTATGCACCCGAAAAGTACAAGTGACTGACATATCTAACGTGTATCCTAATGTCTAACAGCCTACAATTTTATAGGATAGGGGATGTATCTATTATGAGTGAGAGTATAAGGACAGATCAGAAATTAACAACAGAAATGTATTGGTCTGATTTAATCAATGCGTATTTAAGAATAAAAATACATTAAACAAAAAGCACATGTTACATTCAAGGCTGCCATGTTGGTTACCTACGCCCTAACCCCTAGCAATGCGACTATATCTTCGACTTAACATCTAACATTGGTCCTGGACTGTTAGATCGAGCAATGTGAACTAGCCATATCTCTAGAAGTCTAATTCATCATTTTTCTCGATCTACAACGACCTAACAGAGTTAACAGGGTAAACACAAAGATCGTGAATACCCCTAATATTTAAAAATCAAATAAACACATTATATTGTATTTTGTTCTTTCTAGAATGTTTTTCTGATGAAGGACTATAATAAATCCGAAACGTCGCCGAAAATAAACAAATCATCTTAAAAAGAACAACTAAATAGCAAAATCCACTTAGCAATGGACCAACGGAAAGTTACTATACTTGTCCTTCTTGATTTTTCTAAAGCCTTCGATTCTGTCCCTCACTCTTCTCTCCTCTCAAACTCGAATCTTTTTCCTTCTCTGCCAGCACCATCCGTTGGTTCCACTCCTACCTTACCAATCGCCACCAAGCTGTTTCCCTTCCCAATGGCCTTACCTCCTCCTTCCTCCCTCCAAAATCTGGGGTGCTCCAAGGCTCTAGCATCTCTCCTATCCTTTTTTCCATTTATATCAATGATCTGCCCGACTCCATCCAGTCCTATAACTATCACCTATATGCTGATGACTCCTAAATATACATATCCTTCCACCCTTCCGATCTTCACTCGGCCATTCTCAAAATGCAAAAAGACCTAAACTCCATCAACGAATGGGCCCATAAAAATTCCCTAGTCCTCAATACGTCCAAATCAACCGTCATAATTATCGGGTCCAGGCAACTCCTCAATTCCCTCCCCAGCATCCCACCTCTCATGCTAAATAACCATCCCATCCCCTTCTGCTCTTCGGTTAAAAACCTAGGAGAAACCTTTCCTGGCATTCTCACATTTCCCAAATTTCCCGCCATTCCATTGCCTCCCTCAGCTGTTTCGTCGGTCCTGGCTTCTCTTACCTCCACCCGCACACTCCTTGTATCTTCCCTTATAGCTGTTTGTCATGCGGTGGTCTTTTGGAGGGGGAGAACGCGCGATAGAAGCGTATTATTAATTGTTGCGTAAGATTTGTGTACGGCACCCCACGGGGATCCCGGGTGTCGGGGTTGTATTCCCAACTTTCCTGGCTATTCCCCTCCTTCCGTGCACAGTACTTCCAAGGTTGCTTTCTTTTCCAGTCCATCCACACTCGTCGTCCTCCTTACATCATCCAATCCATCCAATTCAACTCCTCACATCTCATTCGAAAGACCCGCTCATCCCCAATCGACCTTATCCTTCCGCAATACAACCCACACCTTCGAAAGATCTTTTCTTATCCGAGCCCCTAAACTTTGGAACACCCTTCCCCATTGTATTCCTCACGCTGCCTCCTTTTCCTCTTTTAAATCCCACCTGTATAAGCACCTCCACTTCCTCCAAGCAGAGACCTCACGTTAACATTTGTTATTTTTGTTTAATATTTTCGTAATTTTCTCTTCTGGCCTGCCTTACTGTTATACATTATGCTAAGATTTCTATCTTTTTTATTTTTACCTTCATAGAAGGAACTTCCTTTATTTATTTCATGTAAATTATTCTTAGGGGACACCAATTTCAGAATAAAGTTATTTTTCTTCTTCTTCTACTGAAATACATTACATCAAGAACATGTTTAATAGAAACGGATAAAGTATAATTTAATTTTTTAATGAATTAAATTAATTGCTTTTCTAATGAAAATCAGATTAAAGGTTCTTTATCACAAAGTGTTATTTCTGTACAATAAATCAGATGCATGCATATTTGCACACATCACGCACGAAAAACACCCATTTCTTTTAAGAAGGAAGAATACAAGAAACACTAAATTTAAATAATTTTTAATTTTTACCCCAACTTTACATTATAAGTATGTTCTTTATCTTCAGAGTTGGCTCAGCCCTAACCTTAAACATTGAAAAAGTTAAGTAGAAAAGCAATAAGTCGTGCCGAACAAGGTAACGAGGATGCCATCAAAGATAACGGGAGCGGTAATATTTTCAACCACTAGGATTAATTACACATCTCTTTTACCGATACGGCCCAGTCTGCAATTTGCTCTGAAATACATTCTTCAAAAATCAGCACAAAACACTAATTAGGTCCCTCCCCTCATCATTTGGGGTGGGAATCCTATTGACAAACGACTTCCTGTCGAGGGAGCAACTGTTGAAAAAGAGAGTTTTCAAACGTTGGCGTGCCCTGTCTCCCGGTAATTAAACTTAGATCAGTCACTGTCATATCTGTTGGCGAAGAGTAATGCTTTACAATTATACGCGATCACGGCATCACGGCAGCGAAAACTGGTGAAGTTTCCTTCAACTCCGTTAGTTTCTTGCATTATATGTTTTTAAATGTAATAATCGTTTAATTAGTTCGGTTTAATGTTTTAAGCTTTATTTCCACATTGTGATCCAGAAGACTTTTTTCAATGAAGGGTTTAGGATGATAGGAGAGATTTGTGAAATTTGGAATATTTTGATTAAATTTGTTGCTTCTTATCGAATGGATGATGGTTACATGATTGAATAATTTGTCAGGGGGGCAGAGAACGAACAATTCAGAAGTATATTAACCATTGGCTAATATGATTAACATAATGTCATAAGTTAGCTTTCCTTAAAGGAAAGTTATAAAAATAAAAAAGTATATGATTTTTTTTTGGCGTTGTTTCGGTCTTATTGCAGTCATCTGCCAAACATATTGGAAAGGAACAAAATACAAATAACAATTTCTAAACATCGATAAAGTCTGGTACAGCCACATGCTACTAGAGTTTGGAAATTGTGAAAATGAAAAGTTGTTTATACAAGTGACTATTGAAAATTTAAAAGTTCTGAAAACTGCGTTAGCATGTGTACAATGTATAATTTTGCTTTTTGTGACAGTTAATGATGAATAGTAGAACTGATTAAGACGTAATTAGAGTATAACGCCACCTGCTAGAAACCATAGACTAAAAGATCGACATAGCATGAAACTGTGAGTGGGTGAAAAGTAGGACAAAAGCCTGGACATTAAATTTAAACAAATGTAGTGTGTGTGGATTTTGCTGTTGACTGCATGGAATGAGTTGGGACTGATATTTTTCTAGCAAGTAGCAATTCTTCATGTGAAGTATTACACTATCTGACTGATTCTTTTGTCATGATGCCTGAGACACTTCACTTCGGGACATATTTCGTTTAATTTGTTATCAGGGGTTTATTTTCTGACAGGTTTGAAACAGCTGAGAGCTTGAATAGTCCTGGTGAATCAACTCATTCGGGACATACATGAATGTTTTAATAATATTGGCAATGAGGCAACTAAGGATTGTAATCATATGAGTTGATTGAGTAAAATTCACTTAAAAAGATTCCATAATAAAAAGTGGGGTTAAGTTCAGCAAACACGATTAAACGTTTACGAAAAGAAAATTATCAAAACAATATATTCAAAGAATCGAAGTACATTGTTAATTTTGAGTAACTATGCAATCTGAATTTCCGGAATTCTACTCACAGGACTGAGAGGATTAATTCCTTCAAAACAACCCCTTCCAAGGCTGAATTTAATTCAAGGTTCACATTCCGACTTTCACGTATTAATTTCAATCCGTTGTAAAAGAGGCAGGCTCTCTGTAGAGGCAAAACAAGATGAAGAGGAAATAAGATGTTGGGGAGTTGTTAATTTAGACAGGATTTCTCCGGCATTCGCCATACACTCTCGGCTACAAGGTACTTACGTTCTCGTCTACTCTATTTCATAATTATTCAGACATATTCCGTCCGGGTACTTAGTCGAACTTAATTCACTTTTCAAACAAGTCGTAAATAATCTTTCTTTCATTTTTCAAAGTTCCAGAAATAAATATAAAACAATAGTTTTCAATTATTGTTAATATTAATCGCCTTTGTATCATGTTTAATAAATATCAAATGACATGGGAGGTTGATATTTGTTGTAAAAAAATTCTGTATTAAACTATGTTTCTTTACCCGGCATTGAAGCTCCGGGAACGACGATATCCCATATGAAATGCTACATAACCAGTGTGCGAAGCATGGCCTGTTGAATTTCTTCAACAACATATGAAATACGGACTCCTATTCCGACCGTTGGTCTGAGGCACTCATCATTCCTGTGCTTAAGGAGAGCAGGAACCCGAACCTGGCCACGAGATACAGACCGATATCCCTATCTGCCTGCATTAGCTCCTTGAGTACATGATAAACGGTCGTTTGATCTGGTTTCTTGAGACGAATGGGTTCACAACCAGTATCAGGCGAGATTCCATAGACATCGTTCCACAGTCGATTATGCTTGCCTCCACGGGAGCGATATTCAGAAGACGTTTTTGAATAGAGAACATGATCTGATCGTGTACTTTGACCTCGAGAAGGCGTATTATAATACTTCGGAAATGTCGGGACATCGGATTTAGAGGCACGTTACCTAGGTTTCACGAGGCTTTGCTATAAAGAAACCACGCGGACAAGTAAACTTCTAGAACTCGACGTAGCTGGCATCCGGGCGTTGATGGATATCCAACCGCTCAGAGCCTAAAACGTGCCTGTTTAAAAAATAAAAATTCAATACTTCCACTTTCAATACTCCATCAACGTCACAAAATTATAATACCAAGAGTGCAGAAATCTTCTGGCATATTTTTGGTGTAGTAGATTACGAAAATGGCTTCTTCCTAGAACTACGTGGCAGAAACGTGAATAAATAAGAATCCGAGATAAAAGTACAATTTTAAGAATATTTTGTTTATTTCGTCCCTATTCTCTCATTTTTTCTGGCGCAAAATGTAAAGATGTTGACACAGTCTGTAGAAAAAAAAATATTTCCCACCAATTGTAAAAATGTATATGTAAAAAAGCTAACAGGAGGTAAAAAAAATTCTCCCATCAAACCAGCCCAAAAGTATGTATTTATTATTTATTACATTTTTATTTCTTGGTTTTAAAGGGTGCTTAAAAGATAGCCAAATTGGATTTTCAAACAAAAATTTTTGTGACAAAGCGTTTCCAATTTTTTTTAAATATATAACATTGAATACATCCGTCTTTCTTATTCGGTAAAATACAATGTTCTTGTAACAATGTTATATACAATCTTTAGTCTGTGAAGTTAATTAAAGCTGCTTTTTTGCTTAAGGAAGATTATAAAGTTCGTTAAAATGTTAACATTGGATGTAATAACGTTTAATTTAAATGTTATAACGGGGTAATAACTCTGGGTCGAAGGGAAGAAATAGCAGACGTTAAAACGATTTAAAATTCCCTCTTTAATATTTTTCTACCGCGCTCTCCACGTACAGGGGATAAAAGAAACGGGCTATCAGGGCCAAAGGGTAAAGTAATTTATAATGAAGTGAAACAAGCCTGTATTCCACCTTGTTTACGGCACAATTAAACTTATGCTAATATCCATTATTTAGGGTTGTAAATATTTAACTCGGCCTTACCCGGTCATAAAGGGGATGCGGGAAAAAACTCGTAATTTTTACGGAACAGCTTGTTGCTGCAATCCTCTCTACCTTGGTACTGAAATGCTTTACCCAAAAAACATTCGGCGAAAAGTCTTGAAAACGTTTTCGAGTTCAACCAGAAAAAGTAGTAATAATTAGGTCGAGGTGATCGATTGAACTGCTTACGCAATGTTTATGCATTACGAAATTTCTACTTCTGCAGAGAATACTTCCAGACAGCTTTCAGAAACAGGCAGATGATACTAACATTACCTAATTGCTTACCTTCAAATGTTTGAACTCGCTAAAATAATTTTAGTACATGAAATGTAACCCAAATACAGATTTTATGGGCTATTTAACAAAATTGTCTTAAATAAATATTGAATGTGTTAGATTTCTTGGAACAGATGTGTTAACGAATTTGGCGTCAAATACCCATACTGTGTTACTTTTCATTTCTTCAGAAATTTTTAGCTGTAGAAATAAATGTGTTTTATAAAAGTTAATTTTAATATGAAATCAGTCAATTGGTCTATAAAAGAATTATTCGAATTTAATTAATTATAGTCAATAGTGTCAATACGGACGGTTATTGTATGTAATTGATAACCCAGTCGTTCATATACGGCTAATATGCAGAGATTGAGTACGGCGCTTAGTAATGCACATCCTGTAAGACTAGCGGGTTCGCATGGTCCAAAATTTACGATCACGCCAATAACGGCGCATCTTCATCCTGGTGGTTTAATTGCTCCATGGAAAACGTGCTAGTTATGGAGACTTGTAGTAGTAAAAATATAATTACTACCAAGAAAAATTCACTTTCAATCGGTAAATATCGGAAAGAGGGCAGGCATTCAAATCGAGAAAAGAAGGACAACGGTAACAATGAAAATGTATCCAACTTAAATTTCTATCAAACAATATTAGCGGAGTTATTTAATCAACATGAAAATCTTTCTACCTATGCTGATACATTCCTTATTTTGAACAGAACTGAGAAATGTATCAGTATAAATTGGATTTTATTTTCAGATTTTACATTTTATTCAGATTTTATATGAACACAACAGCAAGTAACAGCTTAATTTATTAACGTACAATATCTCGCACAGATGTAAACTAGTTCTTCAATTCACAATACAATGAAGTTAAAACAACATGAACTAAAAGTTATGCGAACTAAATAAAAATTTACACCAAGATTTTAAGCTTCCAGCAGCTTGATTCACTTTCCAATATACATGAAGGGTGTCTAGTACAATCGGTTTTGTTCACTTGTGCATATAGATAAGATGTAATAAATGCTCAAACTGCCATAGCAACATAAATGTGTTTAATACAATGAAAAGAATTGTGTTAAGAAGTCTTTCTTCTCTCATTTGCCATTTAGGTAGAACTTTTTTAGATCATTGGTTAGAACCTACTACACCCACTAATTTGGCATAAAATAATTGTATTATATTCTTTATAAGTACAGTAATAAAATGCTTTTCAAAGTTTTATGTGTTTTAAAGTATGTAAAAAACCGCAATAAAATAATTGTTAAAAATATATTTACACTGAAAAAGTCAATGGCACGAGTGGGATTGACTTTTTTATCTCAACTAAAAACCTTAATTAATTAAAATATATTAATTGGTCAAGCGGACCACGAAATTAGAGCATTTACACTGAAAGGTAAAAAATTGGCCGCTCTTAATAATATTAAGTATCTCTTAGACAATCCTCTATTGATTATCTTACAAAAATGATTTGTTTTAAATGATTAGAGGTAAATGAAGCACAGAAAAAAATCTCCCATGTGTTTAAAATCGGATTTTGTATATGAATCTTTTACTAGTGCATCACTTCTTTGCTGGTTTTCTGTAAAACTTCTTTCTATTGTTACGGTGATTTCATTTTTTTGAGTTGCAAGATTTTTAAGTTTAAAATTTGTTTGAGGCACGGTTTTAACTGATAGATTCGGCTAGAATCACAGCATTGTAGGCAGATGGAAGAACAACTGTCCGAAAGGTCTTCCATCGCTAATGGAGATACTCAAGAAGGGATGGATCGTCATCGTGCCGCATCTCAGAGAGAGGGACTTTTAATTGTTTCGAATGAACTCTATAATCGACATTCCACCGCTTTTGAGATCAAGCGACGTCTTCAACAAGTTGGAAACGTAATTGTAAATTAACTCACTGTAAGGCGAAAAATTTCAGAGTAACGTGCGAGAAGGCCTGCCAGTGGCCCAAAACTTCCGACAAGGAAGAGAACAGCCAAATTAAGTTACGCAAAAAATCATGTCAATTGGTTTTGAGAATGATTGCACTAAAATCTTCTTTTCGGATATCAAGGTTTTGTTTGAGGTCTTCTGACGACCCACAGATAGTCCGAGAAGAACAAGAGATCGATATATCGCCGCAACATTTTCACTCCAGAGAAGCTACGGAGGTGGTGGTGTTATGGTTTCGGCAGATGTTTCTATGAAACGTCGGAAAAACTGGATCATACATTGAAGATGTGTTATTCGCGATGCATTGAAGAAGTTGTTCCTTAAATTCCAATAATGCGCGACGTTTTATTTTTATGCTTGACAATGCAAGATTCCACGGAGGTTGGATCATTGGTGATTACTTGGAACTAGCTATTCAACGTTTGGAGTGGCCAGCATGTAGTCCCTAATAGACCCTATCGAAAAACCGTTGGGATGAGCTGACAAAGATGGTAAAAGTTGCCCACAGTGGCCAGAGTATTTGCAGGAATTAAGAATGCCCCTGGTGAAGGAGGTTGAATATATTCCACAGCTGTATATTTGGAGATCATGAGATGCGGTCTGGTGTAACATAGGTTTAGAAAAACATTTTCTTTATCGTGCCAACGTTTCGATCTTTTTTGAGATCATCTTCCGGGCCTGGGATTTATAAACAAATACATGTTGAATATGAAAAAAATATTCCACAGCACTTTATTCAAAACCTCTTAAAATCTATGTTATGTCGAATGCAAGTCCTCAACGCAAGAGGAGGAAATAATCGGTACACAATTTTATATAATTTTCTTCACTTTTTCAACGGCAACATTTTTCGCCAAATAGTTTTACTCAGTTTAGTATTATATTTAATTTTTTATTTAGGTATATCTTATATTTTTCTTTAAAAGAATTTACTAAATAACAAACAATAGCAATTAATAGAATTGGGAGTATTTACTAAAAAAAACCTACGGTGGCTAAGTTATTGCCACTCAGTTTAATTATGATTACTGCAAATGCAAATATCATAGGATATTAATTTCATTTGAATTTACCTACAGGGGCTGTACTTTAAACATATCAGATCTCAAATGCGCAGATGAAACTATAGTATTTAAACTTATCATTTCCAGTTAGCAAACTACGCAATTCTCCAGACGGTGTATAACCATGGCCCGTCGTCGCCTTGCTTCTTACTCGACTCTTTCAGTCGACACAGTCAGAGAAGAATTCTTTTGGAAAAAGCTTCCTTTTAATCCGACATAGTGGCATTGTTGAAGGGCTTTTACAGGGGTGAAGGAGGCGCATGAGCTAATTATTCCATGCTTTGCATATAGATGCTCTGTAGGAACACGGCCAGCATTCTTGAAAAGACCGACATGACTGATTATGTTCAATACTCTCTCAGTATGGAAATCATCGAAGCAATCGGTTCACCCCTCTAGAGCCAGTGGATAATTCATATTCTACATGTGATTTTGCAATTTGATTGCCTTTTTCTATAAACCTTCTCTTACAAATAAGTTAAAAACACAATGAAAAATATTACAAAAACTTTAAAAAATTATATTGGAAATTATAGCAATTTCCACCGCTTTCACTTGTGTATTTATTCTAGTGCCTACTTATATCATACATATAAACTGCTCAAGAGTGAATATGGATGTTGCCAATTTTGTAGTATTTACTTTCCCAAGCTTTTCTATTTTATTTTTATTATAAATGGCATTAAAATTTATTATAAATTATTATGTTTTTACTGTAGGAAATTTACATAAGGAATACTGAAAAATAGCAAAATAAAAGATTTTAATTCTATAATTTTGTTTGTTGGACACAATGAGTTTTTTAATCCATTAATTGGGGGCGTCGGTGGCCGAACGGGTTAGGCGATCACACGGCGCTCATCACTGTAAGGTTAAGGTCCCGGGTGAACCTGACATACTTACAAATGGGCTCTTTTTCAAAAACAACGGCACCCCGAGGGTTCATATAACCTCTGCTGTTGCGTACCCTCGTAAAAAAAATCAATTATTCCATGTATAATGTCATCGGTTAGCTAAAACCTCTATACACTGTTGGATATACTGTTAATAAGGTTGCCACTAATTTCATATGGAATTCTACTCCATAGATGTTGCAACGCTGCACTCAGTTGTTGTAGATCAACTGGCTGCGGATGGGGGTAGAAAAGCCTTCTCTGCAAAACATCCCACAAATTAATGTTGATTGAGGATGGGGGAAAGAGTAGATGGGAAATTACAAGGTTTTTGATGAACCTCTCTGCCTCTATGAGATCTGGCATTGTCATCCAGAAATCGAAAATCCCTGCCAATGAGATCACTGGTTTAGGACTGTATTCCTCGATAATTTCTCGGACATAACGGATTTACTATGTTAAATGTGAGTTTTAATTTTATTACAACTCTGTGTATGTTTGAAGGTTGTGTTCAATCTTTTTTAAACCTTTTGAAGGGTTTTACTGCACAAAAATCCAGTGTATCCACACATATATAGTGAGTGAAAAAAAATACGAAGAGAGAGGGAGAGAGGGAGATAGAGAGTGAGTGAGTGGTTGGGAGGGAAAGAGGGAGAGAGAGAGAGAGAGAGAGCTTAAGTAAGCTTAAGCTTGGTATGCTTAAGTTTAAATTCTGCTAATCCTTAAATACTACTAATATCGTTGCATGTTAAAAATGACGTATGTACATGTGCATATATATATATATATATATATATATATATACGTATATATATCGACTTATGTAGTAGACTGAACGTACTGGAGTACTCTGGAGTACTGGATTCTCAAATGAAGAGGTTCCAAACGGTCATAAAAGAAAAGTAAGGCTGATGATTAGAGTTCCATTTATAACAACTGCATGCAAACTGAAATATTCTTGAGGAGTTCTACTTTCATCATATACACGCTACCATATCCGTTCCAGCACGCAACGTAACCTCTTCTTCAAAATAAAATTGTAAACCTGCCTAGTCAAAGCACTCGAGAAGGATGAAGCATCAACTTCACCCAAAAGTAATTGATTTAATTAAAAAATGTTTCATTTTGCTTCAAGTTCTGTAAAAATCTGTTATGTTTATATTATATATTATTGGTTATTTGTGTTTAATAATGATTTGTTTTGGAAATGAA